TTATTTACACACCAGTGTGAATGTGCCAAATGCCAACGAATTGAAAACACTAAGACGGTTGTTTGGATATGAATTTCGCGTAACTTAAAAAACAACAACTAAATATAATACATGATCTTAGACTGGATCCTATATCGGAAGAAAAAAAGTGCTCAAGGGGCCCAACTGTTGAGCCAGTTGACAACATTGGCCTGTGGACAGCAAATTACTATTTCAACATGAAATATTCTGAAGCCTCTAAATGTATTCTAGTTATCTAAGAGGGCCCCATTATTCTCAGGAAATCCAGAGTAAGGTACTTGGGGCAAAGGGGCCTGAATGATGCCACTTGCGTGTAAATGCTGCAGAAAAAAACATGTACGTGCAGAGAAGAAAAAGGATATGGCACATGAAGCAAAATGTTCCCGGTGGGTGACTTTGAGCAAGGAGTACACGGTCGTATTCTTACAACTTTTGGTGAGCTCGAAACTTTCCAGACAAAAAGCTTTTCCAAAGACACGCACGCCACTTTTGGGGGTTTCCCGTGGAGCTCACGGTGAAATCCAGCCTCCCGGCTGGGACCAGAGAGCCCACGGGCTCTGACCTCCACACCTGTCTGGCCTCACCAGCGCTCTGCAACGTGCTGCCACCACCCTGGCCGCATTTCTGCCGCAGACCGCTGTCCCCTCTCCTCCGACGCTTGGCACAGCTGGCCCCCTCTCTCTCCCTCGGCCCAGGTGTGGCCTGCTTGGGGCGACTCTCTCTGCTCTGACCCATCTAAAGAAAGCCTCCCTGGGGGCGCCTAGGTGGCTCAGTCGGTTGAGCGTCCGACTTCGCCTCAGGTCATGATCTCACGGTCCGTGAGTTCGAGCCCCGCGTCGGGCTCTGTGCTGACAGCTCAGAGCCTGGAGCCTGTTTCAGATTCTGTGTCTCCCTCTCCTTCTGCCCCTCCCCCGTTTGTGCTCTGTCTCTCTCTGTCTCAAAAATAAATAAACATTAAAAAAAAAAAAAAAAGAAAGCCTCCCTGACCTGCACCCTCTGTTACTGGGTTTATTCCATCAGACAGCTAAATCGCATAATGGCATTATCCTATTAATTTATTTATCTACTGTTCGTTGTCTCCCTGCCATGGTTGGAATTTGAGCGTTGGGAGGCAGGAAATCTGGCACACTTTTGAATCTTCAACCCTAGAACAATGCCCAGTACCCTGGCGGCGCTCAGTTGGTACGGGTTGTGTGATTGAAAGAACGGGTCTCACAGTTGCTAGGTCTTAGAAAGGGAAATGAATACGCGTAAAAGAGCACGGAGCGAGTCGTGCCCTTGAACCCCACTCTCCTGCTCCTAATGTACTCAAACACACTCGCACCTCCCCTCCCTGCTTCTGAACTCTTCCTGTCCCCCCCAACCAGCCCTCAGCTGGTCTCCTGTCCCTGGGTCTACTCCTGCGATGACAGCATTCTTCACGTTCCTTAGCCCTCTTCCTTGCTAGCTTGCGGCTCCCTCTCCCCAGGTGTTGGTCAGTTACTCATCTACTCCCTAGCTTCCGCGTGTGTGTGTGTGTGTGTGTGCGCTTAAACCACAGCCTCGCTCTTAATTCCAGACGGTGTATTCCCAATTGCCCATTGGATCATCTTCCAGACCCCCTCGAACTCCGCCTCCTTAAACCTAAATGCATCGCCCTCCCCCCCCATACTGCACCTCCTCCTGTATTTCCCCGCTTGACTGCTGGCAACGTTCATGTCTCAGCGCCATCACTACCTTGCTTAGACCCGTTTCCTCCGTCTCGTTGGTGTGCCGCACAGTATCACTAGGTAGTATCACTACCTAGTCCTACCCACCATCCCTTCTTGATCGCCCGTTGTTACCGTTTTTTACCCCGTCTTCCTTCTCCTGTTCTCTTGTTCCTCCCATACCCACTTCCAGGGTTACTTTCCTAAAAGTAGCTGGCGGATCACTACTCTCCCCTGTTCGGAAACCTGTGCTAGGTCCCCTTTATTTCGGAATAAAGTCCCAACTTCACAGTGTGCCGTTCAGCGCCCTCCACACTCTGCTCCCAAACTGTCTCCCCGAATACATGTCCCACGGTAGCACTCCAGCATCCCACACGCTAGGGTTCAGCTGTCCTGGTTTCCTTACACTCCCCTGACTTGCCGAGTGCCCTGTGGCTTCTGTGCCTTCGTATTGATCACCCGTCTTCCAATGGAAAACCCCTTCATCCTTCAAGATTCAATCAAAATACTTTCTCCTCCATGAAGCCTTTCTGAATCCAAGACTGAATCATTTTTTCTTCTCCCTTCTCACGACATAGTACTCTTTGCTTTTTTAGCTATTAGGTCCCTCGTCCTGGCACAACGATTAGTTACTTACCTCTCTGTTTCTGTAGACTTTGAGCTCATGGAGGTTGGAAGCATGCATTATTCACATTTACAGCCTTCACAGGCTATGGTGCACAAAGGGTCTGTACCGTATTGATAATGAACTCTCGACGGTCTCTGAGCCCACTCACCTGGCACCTGTTTACTGCCTGGAAAGTTAGCTCCTTGCGTACATATCTTAGCTCTCCAGGAGACTGGAAACTTAGCTATGTTCACCTCCATATTTCCACATCACATATCGCCGTGCCTTACGATGAAGGTCTTATATGAATGACTGAAGGGTAAGTCAGTAATGCATTTTAGAGTAGCAGGAGACAAAATTACTAAGCAAGTTTACGATCCAGCCTCACCATTTAAAAATTTTTAAGTTTATTTATTATTTTGAGAGACGAAGCAAGAGAGAGGGCAGGGGAGGGGCAGAGAGACAGAGGGAGAGAGAGAGAGAATCCCAAGCAGGCTCCGCACCATCAGCACAGAGCCCGACGTGGGACTCAAACTCATTGAACCATGAGATCATGACCTGGACTGAGAGTCAGGCACTTGAACGACTGAGTCACCACCACCCAGGCACCCCCAGCCTCACCATTTTAAACAATCTCTCTCTGATGAACATGCGGTGAGTCAAGTCGTCTCCCACAAAATGGGTTTGCATCTGAGTGTGGATATTTGAATGCGCGTGCAAATATATGTCACCATGAGATACGTCCTGATAATCTGTGAATCAGATTTTTTGTAAACCGCATGTACCACAGAAGACTTCAGATAGTTACTGCCAATCCTTTGGGGGCAGCAGAACATTTTTGAATACATTTCGATTTTCACGTATGAGTTCGCGTAAACAGTATTCCAAAATATTTGGTGAGCCAACGCACGTCTCTGCGTGCACTGTCTCTCGTAAGATCCCTCTTGACGTTTCTTGGAAAATCAAGATAACAGAAAAATGACTCTCAACTTTTCTCCCTTGTTCTCCCCCTGTAGAGAATTTTAGTAGGCCAACAGAGGAACTAAATATTTCTGCTCTCGGTAACAAGGAGGGAAATGAGGAAGTCTGTAACCTCGCTAGTGGTGTCATATTGAAAAACTTGTCACCTCCAGCATCATTAAAAGGTAAAGACAATTTGCGTATTCGCTTTCCAGGACCTAGACTCCCCTTTTTCGTTCTCGAGGACAACTGCGTAAAAGGGAGAAAGGAAGGTCATCATAGACTGATGACGGTTGTCTGTTTTGTGCTGCCCCGGGCAGTCGAAGTCTCCACGGTGGGCTTCGCCTCCCTGCTTCTAATTTGGAGAGTTACCTGCTCCCCTGTGCAATTTCTGGAAGCTGACTTGAACAAAGTTTTGTTCAACCGCATGAAAGAATGAAGCGTAATGCATTTTTCATTAAACCAACGCCACGTAACGAGAGAGAAAATCTAATCCTGTAGCTTTTGCTGCCATTTACTTTTAAAAGACATGATGAGCCGTGGACTTTATATCCAAGCTCTGTTATTACTCTTTTAAAGAAAAATGGCTTTCAAGCAACGTTCTGGTGTAACTTGGGCTCCAACCCATGCCATCTATAAATAACTGAAAAGGTTTTGAAGGGTGACCTAGGGACACCTCAAGGTCCTCAGTCTTCCCAAAGACTGTTTCTTCCGCTAGGTCTACCAAAGTAGGAAGGTGGACTGGCTTGCCTTCTACGGTGTTCTGTGGGCAAGTTGAGAAATGCAGATTTTGTCCCACCGCAGGTGATGTAATAGCAGGACATCCTGGTAGAAATGTTCGGGAAGCCATGTGACCGTGACACCTGAGCTTAGATGAGAAGCCGGGATTCGAGCTCAGAGCTCTCTGGCACTTGGTCGTGAGCATAGAGGTGGTAGTAATAGGCTGTCACAGGAAAGAAGGAGTCTCTGGGCAGGTGGAGAGGAGGCTTGGTGCTGGGAGGAGGGTGAGTCAGTGACGAGGACAGACAAGGGCCCGCTGGAGAGGCCAACCCAGCTCGTGGATGACAGGCTCTCACCTCCGACCACCATGGCCCGCCGTGACCTCCCCTCTCCTCACAAACCCCGTCACGCTTTTGCGCCAGATCAGAACACCGCGACATCAGTCTTATGCCGATCGGGCCGTCATGCCGGGCGTGTTTCAGACGCCGGCACCTGCCTCTCTCGTACCCCCAGCGCATGCTGTCTGTGGTGTAGACACCAGGCAGATCCCTCATTTGGTTTCGCGTGGCCGGGGTTGCGTGAAGCGAGCACGGTAGAGCAGGACGGCTGTCCACCCGTGGGCGGTATTTGCTCCGGACGAGTGACTGGTTCCCTACTGTGTGGCTTTTCACCTGCAGAAATCTCTCTGGTTCAGCTGGATAGCATGAGTCTCTCCCACCAGATGTTGGTGAGATGCGCGGCCATTATCGGCCTGACCTTCACCACGGAGCTGTTGTTCGAGGTTCTCCCTTGTTGGAACATGAAGATGATGATCAAGGCCCTGGCCACTCTGGTGGAATCCAACATCTTCGATTGCTTCCGGAACGGCAAGGAGCTCCGAATGGCTCTAAGACAGAACGCGGCCTCGTTTGAGGTCAACTATCGCTCCCTGTCTCTGCAGCCCAGCGAAGGGCTGGGTGAGTAGATCCGGGAGGCAACCCACATCTCCTCTTTGCCCGGTCAGAGGGCTGACGTGCGAGGTAGCGGGGCTGGGGGGGGGCTGATCCGCCGCCTTTCTGTTCGTCCCAGCCCACGGTGAGGAGGAAGAGCTCCGCGAGCTGGAAAGCGAGGTGATCGAGTGCCACATCATCCGATTCTGCAGGCCTATGATGCAGAAGACGGCCTATGAGCTGTGGCTGAAGGACCAGAAGAAAGCCATGCACTTGAAGTGTGCCCGCTTTTTAGAGGAAAATGCCCACAGGTGTGACCACTGCCGAAGCGGCGACTTCATCCCCTGTCACCACTTCACGGTGAACATTCGGCTCAACACTTTGGACCTGGATACTATTAAGAAGATGGCCAAGTCCCGCGGATTTACCAGTAAGACTTACTTTATTCCCCGTTAGTTCTAACTACCCCTGGGGAGGGAGAGGGGGGCGCGGGGGCGGCCGAGTCCAGCGGGAACCGTCTTGCTGTGAGACTGCCAGAGGGGGTTTGGGGATCAGGACTCTGGTGAAACGGGGCGCAACCAGAGCTCAAAGGAAAATATCCAGAGGGATAAAGCTGACCCAGCTTAATTCACACCAAGGGATGGAATAGAAGGTTCGGTGGGGGGGGCCGGGGGGGCCGGGTCTCACGCGTTGAAGCAGAAACAGGAGCAAGAGGGAGGAATGTTTGTCAGCAGGCAAGAATGCTGTTGCTTTGTCAGGTCTGAAACAAGGTTCCAGCGGAGAAAGAATGCGAGTGGGGTAGAATTATGCAGGGCTAAGCGGGTCAGGATGCCAGAAAAGGGGGCTCCCGCTCAGGGCAGGGGTTCAAGGCCATCTGTGAAGCAAAAGCGAGGAAGTTACCATCCGATAGCACAAGTCAGCCACGCGATCTGGGGAAACACAGGTTTCCAGGGGCAAAAGGGACCAAGGACTCTGGTACCGTAGGCATGATGGATGTGAGGCCAAGGGTCGCAACCCCAATTCCAGCCCCCCTCGTGGGTGACCAGGGAGAACTGGTGGGCTACATGTCTTAGCTAAAGCCTTGGTGACTGTGGCTAAACCCGGTGAGGAAACCAGAGGCTTAAAAGCGCAGGATTCCTATCTTTTGTGGATATTACACACTGGGAAGAAATGTATGGAAAGTGCCCAGCACAGAGTAGCTACAAAAGAAATATTTATTTATTTATTTTTAATGTTTATGTCTTATTTTTGAGGGAGAGAGAGACAGAGCGCGAGTAGGGGAGGGGCAGGTGGCAGGCAGGGAGATGACCGAAGAGGGTCCTGCTCAGAAGCATGCTGAGCTGGACGACGCTGCTCGAACTCAACAAGTATTGAGATCACGACCTGAGCTGAAGTGGGACCATCAATCAATCGGCAGCCACCTAGGCTTCATAATCCCCTTTTTAAGAAGGATCAGGGCGCCTGGGTGGGCGCATAGTCGGTTACGTCCGCTTGCCAGCCAGGTCACGAGCTGCGGTCTGTGAGTTCGGTCTCCGCTGCCGGGTTTCTGGGCGATGGCTCGGAGAGCCTGCTTCCATTCTGTGCCTCCCTCTTCGCCCCTCCCCCCCGTTCGTTTGCCTTCGTCCCAAAAATAAATAAAAAAACGTTGAAAAAATTCTTTAAAAAAAAAAGAAGACCGGGGAACCACATGCAGGCAGTGCGTCAACCGGTGTTTTGAGCAGGCGGCGAAGGGCTGGGCCGTGGAGGAAAGCAAGGGCTTCATCCATTTTGGGGGGTTCTCTAATAACCCAGCAATTTTGTCTCAAGGATGACAGACCAGAAAACTTCCCAAAGTTTTACCATTAGTAATGATCCCAAAGGACCCAGTGTCCCACACGCATGCCAATAGTATTCTCTAGGGACAAAACACCTTGACTTCCTCCTAACTGTTCTCTCTCTTCAGTTATTGCCTCCCATATACTTAAATGGTGTGTTTGCACAGCTTGTTTAAAACTCAAATTTGGGGTGCCTGTATTTTAGGGTCGGTTAAGCGTCCACTTCAGCCAGGTCACCATTTCATGGGTCCTGCAGCTTGAGCCCCGCCAGGTTTCATGGCTGATTGGAGCCTGGAGCCTGTTTCTCTCCATTCTGTCTCTGTGTTCTCTCTGCCCCTCAGCCTGCTCATGTTTGTCTCTCTCTGTCCCAAAAATAAACGTTGAAAAAAAAAAAAACCCACCTCCTGACGTTATCTGTTTTCTTCCTACTGTGGCTGCAAAGATACAGCAGGCCTGGGTGAGGACTCCGTCCTGTTCTTCCTTGCATTATCATCACTATCATTATCCCTGCACATTGTCATTAGATAAGTCCTTATGAAGACTGCATAAATGCTGTCTATTACAGAACCAAAGTGGTAATATACTGTGAATATGTCTTTTTCTTAATTTTTTTTACTCCCCATTTAGTTTTTGTACCAGAGTGAGTACAAAGCATGAGCGGGGGGAGGGGCAGAGAAGGAGACACAAAATCAAAGCAGGCTCCAGGCAGAGCCCTCACGGGGCCTGGAACCCATGAACTGTGAGAGATCATGACCTCTGAGCTAAGTCGGACGTCACTGACTTGAGCCACCCAGGCTCTCCCCTGTGAATACACGTGTTCTTAACGCTTATTTTTCCCCAACTTTCTAGGATAATGAAAAAAAAGTGGTAACGCCGGCTTTTGATAATATCCTTAATTGGTCGGATTGGGTCCTCTGTCTGCTTTTTGAACCTTATGCGCTCAGATAATTCGGTGAAGGACATACAGTTAACCCTTGAACAGCAGTGGGGTTTGAACCCGCGCGAGACTACCATAGATTTTTTCCAATAAATACAGTCCAGTACTACAAATGTATTTTCTTATGATTTTTTTTTTACCCTTTTTTTTTTTCAACGCTATTTATTTTTTTTGGGACAGAGAGAGACAGAGCATAGAATGGGGGAGGGGTAGAGAGAGTAGGCATTGGCCAGAACGGAACAGTTCTGGAGAGTCAGCCCAGAGCCCGACAAGCCCGGAACTCACGAACCGCTGATGATCGTGACACCCGCCGAAGTCGATCGCTATCCCAGGCGCACCACCCAGGCGCCCCTCTCTTATGATTTTTTAAATGGTATTTTCCTGGGCACCTGGGTGGCTCAGTCGGTAAGTCCGGACCAGCCTCCAGGGTCATGATCTCAAGCTGGGTTTGAAAGCCTGTTCCATCAGCCTCTGTGCCGACAGCCCAGGAGCCTGGAGCCTGCTTCAGATTCTGTGGCCTCCCCCCCTCCCCCTGCTCCTCCTGCCCCACTCACACTCTGTCTCTTTCTCAAAAATAAATAAACATTAAAAAAATTAAAAAAAATAAATAATATTTTCTTTTCTCTAGTACTTTATGGCAAGGCTACAGTATAAAATACAGAAAACAGAAATATGGTAATCAGTTTTAGGTTATCAGTAAGGCTTCTTCTGGTCAACAGTAGACTGTTAAGGTTTTGACAAGTCAAAAGTTATGTGTGAATTTTCAACTGCTGGGGGTGGGGAGGGGTCGGCGTCCCAAAACCCTTGTGTTGTTCAAAGGTCAGCTGTAATTGGAAGAGGTTCAAAGACATGGCATTAGGTGTCGATTAGAGAGGGAGGAAGTTGATTCGCTTTTCAATTTTCTCTCTGTCCTCAAGTCCTTCTTGAACGCTGTTATTTTCATGAGTCTTGATCCCCAAAGATCTTTCTCCGGGGCTCCGTCCTTCAGGTCGCTCTACCTACTTCATCAATGACCACTCTTCTCGCTCCTTTGTCTTCCAAACGTGTTGAAATCCCATCCACCAGGGGCGCCTGGGTGGCTCAGTCAGTTGAGCGCCCCCGACTCCGGCTCAGGTCATGATCTCACAGCTTGTGAGTTCGAGCCCCGCGACAGGCTTCAGATTCTGTGCCTCCCTCTCTCTCTGCCCCAACTCACTCGCGTTCTGTCTCTGTCTCTCTCAAAAACAAACAAACATTAAAAAAATGTTAAAAAAAATAACAAAAATAATAAATTAAAAAAAAAAGAGCATTCTCTTGTGGAGAAGCAGACGATGGAGAAAAAAATTTAATAAAGAAGTAAAATCTATAGGATGTCACAAGGGGTAAATCCCATCCCAAGGAAGAAAACTGAAAAGAATATTAGTTAGGGCCAGGGGGATTAGGAATGTAGAGCCATTGGGAAGCCTTCATTGAGAGGTGAGATTCCTAGAAAGATGAAGGAAATGAGGGATTTTGTCTCAGGGTTGGTGAGGGAGAGCATCCAGGCAGGGTATAGACAGCACAAAGGCCCCAAGACAGGAATTGATCCCTTCTATTTTATACATTGTGGGTTTGTGCTTTTAAAATGTATTTTATTCTCATTTTAATGGGGTAAAATTGTCGTAGACCCGGAGGTACAGGAGGGAAACAAAAGAGTTCAATCTGTCACCTTGAAGCTGAGGTCTTATTTCCAGGTCTTTGAAACCCCGAGATGAGCAAGTGATATCTTGGCTTTTCTCCCTCTGAGAACCTACAAGCATTTTGTGTATATTTTTTCCTTTAAAAAAAAATTTTTTTTTAATCTTTGTTTTTGAGAGAGAGACAGCATGTGATCAGGGGAAGAGCAGAGAGAGAGGGGGACACAGAATCCGAAGCAGGTTCCAGGCCCTGAGGCACAGAGCCCGACGCGGGGCTCGAACTCACAAACTGTGAGATCATGACCTGAGCCGAAGTCGGAAGCTCAACTGACTGAGCCGCCCAGGTGCCCCTATGTTTTTTCCTTTCGATTTTGACATCTTCTCTTTGAATAGGGAACTTTTTTTTTTTTTTTTAACGTTTTATTTATTTTCGAGACAGAGAGAGACAGAGTATGAACAGGGGAGGGGCAGAGAGAGAGGGAGACACAGAATCCGAAGCAGGCTCCAGGCTCTGAGCCATCAGCCCAGAGCCCGACGCGGGGCTCGAACCCACAGACCGCGAGATCATGACCTGAGCTGAAGTTGGCCGCTTAACCGACTGAGCCACCCAGGCGCCCCTGAAGTAGGGAACTTTTAATAAAATATTTCCTTCATATATGAAGAAAATTGAGAACAATAAATAATATGATTCACCTGAGGGGTGGACGATATAACGACAAAAACCGTATCTTGTATTCCCCAACTTTATTTCTTCTTTTTAAAGTTTTTTTGTGTTTATTTATTTATTTTGAGAGGGAGAGAGAGAGCACGCACATGCATAGAGTTGGGGAGGAGCAGAGAGAGAGAGAGAGAGAGAGAAGAGAGAATCCCAAGTAGGCCCCACACTGTCAGGAGAGCCCAGCCGGGGGCTTGAACTCACTCACTGTGAAATCACCTGAGCCAAAATCAGCAAGTCAGATGCTCAACCGACTGAGCCACCAGGCACCCCTCCCCAACTTTGTTTCCTTTTCTAGCCAATATTGCTTGTCTCTGCATCTCCTTCTATCACTATTACAATTTGAAACATAAAAAAATAGAGATATGTTGGGGCGCCTGGGTGGTTCAGTCTGTTAAGTGTCCAACTCTTGACTTCAGTGGTCATGATCTCACAGTTTGTGAGATCAAGCCCCATGTTGGGCTCTGTGCTAGAGCACGGAACCTGCTTAGAATTCTCTCCCTCTCTCTCTCTCTGTCCCCCATGTGTGCACACGTGCACTGTCTCTCAAAATAAATAAACTTTAAAAATGTGTGTGTGTGTGTGTGTGTGTGTGTGTAGATGTTGTTGGAGGAATAGCATTTTATTTTTCTTTTTTATGTTTTTCAACAAGTGTGCATTTTATTCAGCAAATATTTATTGAGTATCTACTATGTGCTAGGCAGTGATCTAAGTACCAGGGGTATCATGCTACAAATGACAGATGTGTGGTGCGCCTGAGTGGCTCAGTCAGTTAAGCGTCCGACCTGAGCTCAGGTCATGATCTCATGGTTTGTGAGTTCGAGCCCTGCGTCGGGCTCTGTGCTGACAGCTTAGAGCCTGGAGCCTGCTTTGGATTCTGTGTCTCCCTCTCTCTCTGCCCCTCCCCCACTCGTGCTCTGTCTCTCTCTGCCTCAAAAATAAATAAACACTAAAAACCTATTTTTCTAAAATAAGATAAAAATGAGAGACATGTGCCTACTCTCATATATTTGAATTTTCATTAAGTCTGATGATAGACAATAAACAGATTAATTAATAAAACCATCAAAGGTCCTTATAGGCCTTGATAAATAGTCTGAATTTTCTTTTAAGGGAGTTGGAACACACTGGAGATGAATTAAAATTAGAATTAGTATGGGATGTATGTAACAAGGACCCAGGTGGAATGACCTAAATTTATTTACGGTTAAATTTGTTTCTTTCTCATGTAAAATGTTTGTCTCATCTCTGGGACTCGTCTAAAGGCTTCATGATCTTCAGAAACTCTTGGTCCACAAATGGCTGCTGGAGCTCCAACCATCATGTTTGCATTTAAGACTAGAGGAAGAGAAACCAAAAGAAATGAAAAGGATGCCCATGCCCTTTTAAGGACTCTTCTAGAAGTCCTACTGAGAACTTACATGGCTCTATCCCGTTGCAAGGAAGTAGCTGCCCTGAGTAGAATTGAGTTCTATTAGTAGGGAGAAAAGGGAAAATGGAGTTGAGATAGGAAAGCAACAGTTTCTGCCACAGAAATCTGAGTCATGTTTTTAAAAACTTGTTCTGAAAAAAATTAAAGTAAATAAATAAAAACGTATTCTGCCTTCTCTGTAGAAGACAGATTAAGGGGATAGGACTAGAAGGGAGATCAATTTTTCATACTTGTCCGGATAAAATTTGGTGGTGGACTAGGGCAGCACTTTAGTAAAGAAGTGTTTAGTAAACACTTCAGGTGTGTTTTGAGGTAAAGTTAATGGGACCTCCTGTTGGGCTAAATGGGGATAAATAAGGGAAAGAAAAGAATCAAGAACACTGCCTAGGTTTTTTGCCTTGAGAAAGCGGATATATGGCACTGAGACTTAGTAAGATCAGGAAAATGTAGGTGGATATAGGCTTATGGAAGAGAGATTCAAGAGTTCTGTTTGCATCATGTTAAATTTTTTTAATTAAAACTTTTTTTTTAATGTTAATTGATTTTTGAGACAGAGAGAGACAGAGCATGAGTGGGGGAGGAGCAGAGAGAGAGGGAGACGCAGAATCCGAAGCAGGCTCCAGGCTCCGAGCTGTCGGCACAGAGCCCGATGCGGGGCTCGGACCCACAAACCCTGAGATCACGACCCGAGCCGAAGTCAGGCGCTTAACCGACTGAGCCACCTGGGCACCCCAGATCATATTAATTTTTAAATGCCTGTTAGGCATTCAGACAAAAGTTGCCAAGGGAGCATCTGGGTATAGGAGCCTGTAGTTAAGGGGAGACGTCAGGGTTTAGAGATTAAAAAATTGAAAGTCATTGGCATATGCATGGAATTTATAGTCGTGGGCAGACGACATTACCCAGGAAAAATTTGCATAGAGAAAGGGGCCCGGGACCAAACCGAAGCTTACCAATGTCGCCAGGGGAGTAGGAGCCAGCAAAGTGGGCAGCCGATGAAGAAAGCAACCAGGGGAATGGTTGTTCCAAAAGCTGACGAAAAGAGGGAGCGAACGGTGTGATAAGATGTAGACAAATACGTGACCTTTGGTTCTGGCCGCACGGTGGCCACCGGCAGCCACCGGTAACCTCCACGAGAACCGTTTTAGAGGAGTACAAGGAAAGAGGCCTAATTCAATTTACTCAGCTCTCGGTCGCTAGAAATACACTAACTGGCAACGTAGGAGGAGAGGTGGGCAAATTCTTCCTTACACAGCGTGAAAAGGATTGTGACCGAGGTCGGCACAGGGCACCCGTGAGTTGGGACACTAGATCTATGGTTGGGACACTAGATCCACGGCGACAAGGGCACAGAAGGCTTTTCAAAGGAAGGTGATGACTAGGGGCTTAAACTGCATTGTTAGAAATCAGAAGATAGGGGCGCCTGGGTGGCTCAGTCGGTTAAGCGTCTGACTTTGGCTCAGGTCATGATCTCGCGGTCCGTGAGTTCGAGCCCCGCGTCGGACTCTGTGCTGACAGCTCGGAGCCTGGAGCCTGTTTCGGATTCTGTGTCTCCCTCTCTCTGACCCTCCCCTGTTCATGCTCTGTCTCTCCCTGTCTCAAAGATAAATAAAATGTTAAAAAAAAAAATTAAAAAAAAAAAAA